CAAACACCTACTGGCTGTGTGACTCCGGGCAAGTCAATTTCATTTCTGTATGCTTTAGTTTCTTCAACTGTAAAATGGTAATAATAACAGCACCTACCTCCTAGGGTTTTTGTGAGGATGAAATAAGATAATTTTTGTAAAAAGTATTTAGCACATTACTTGACTAGTATGTACTTAATAAATACTTATTTTCTTCTCCCATTCTTGAATTGAATAAGGGTAAGTACTTCATTTGTCCCATTCCTGAGTTGAATAAAAGCAAGTACTTCACCTCCTACTCAACCCTAACAGAGGCAAGAGGGAAATTGATGTTCATAAAGCCTTCCACTCCTTCAGAATGTTCCCTCTGAGTGTCCCCTCCCATCCTCCCTTTATCCATCAAAATCTAAACTCCTCCAGTGTGGTGTAGTTGAAATACCTCTGGATTTGGTGTCAGAGAGACTGAATGTAAATTTTAGCTCTGCTATGGATTAGCTGTGGTGGTGCTGTTGTGGTTGAGTCACGTCTGACTGTTCATGACCCTATTTGGGGTTTTCTTGGCAAGGGTATTGGCATGGTTTGCCGTTTCGTTCTTCGGCTCATTTTACAGATGAGGAAACTGAGGTAAACAGGGTTGCTTCACCCAGATAGTAGTGTCTGAGGTCAGATTTGAACTCAAGTAGACTCATCTTACTGACCCCAGGTCCATCATCACTCTATCCACTGCACTATCTTATCCCATATTCCCATATTAACTTGTATTTATTTGAGATAGGACATGAAAGTTTTATCTCTCTCTCTCTCTCTCTACTAGCCTTGATGTTCCTTGTGGGCAGAACCACTTCTGCATCTTTGTATTCATTCCACACCCTCTTCTCCCCTCTCCCTTCCCTATCTACCGAGTATCTACTGAAATTCCTTGCACATAGTAAGCGCTCAATGAGCATATGTTAAATCAGTGAATAGATGGATCTGAAATAAAGTCTAATTTCCTTTGTAGTTACCTTTCACTATTTTATCTTTCCCTTTTCTCTCACTATTCTCATTCATGTATCCTGTACTCCAGTTAAATCAGATTTAGACTCTACTTCCCTCCTGTGCCTTTGCTCACTCTATACTCTCTATATCAAATTAGAACCCTAATTCTGCCTTTTTAATCTTCCATGAAGCTTCCCCTGATGCCCCTGGACAGAATCAATCTCTCCCTCCTTCGCATTTTGTTTATACTTCTCTTAAGGTACTTTTCTCTCTTTGTCATACTCTAGCATCTGGCCAAATTTACTTTCTCTCTGGTTTTCACATATATTCCATCTCCTATCTTCATACATTTTCATTTCTGCAGACCCGGAAGGTACTTCCCTTTCCACCTCTATGTTTTAGGCCTTTGCTGATCCTCCCTGTTTCCAGTATATTCGTTCTTTGAATACCTTGAATTTAATTATATTGTTTGTATTTTATATATACCACAGAAAAAAGCCCTTTGAGGGCAGAAATCGGTTCATTTTTTAAAATTTTGTAGCCTCAGTGTGCAGTGCCGAACACATAATAGGCACTTAATAAAAGTTCAGACACTTACTAGCTGTGTGACCCTGGGCAAGTCATTTAACTCTGCCTCAATTTCCTCATCTGTAAAATGAGCTCGAGAAGGAAATGGCAAACCACACCAGTATCTTTGCCTAAGAAAACTCCAAATGGGGTCACAAAGAATCGGACATGACAGAAAAAAAGAACAAACAACAATAAGTGCTTGTCAATTGATGGATTGCACTATATAGGGTGTCCTAAAAGTCTTGTAGCAGTTTGAAACCTTTGGGACACATAACCCTACTATATTGTATTGTACAATACTATTGTACTTTTTAATAGTACTTTAATATTTCAAAGTGCTGGTACAATTACTACTATCTACATTTTACAGATGAGAAAGCAGAAGATTTAAGAAACTTGTCCAGGCAGCTAATATATTAGAACTAGATTTGAGCACAGGATTCCTTATAATTACCACCTTTGTGACCTTGAGCAAGTGATTTAACTTCTCTATGATGTGTAAAGTGTGGACTAGATGAGCTAATTCCATTCAGCAAGCATTCATCAAATAGCTAGGTGAAAGGCTGTGCTGGGTACTAGTGATATAGCCACCCCCCCCCAAAATAAAATGAAATACAGGGTATCCCATAGATGAGTGCTGTTGTAAGAGCTTAAAACTGACACTTTGTGGAGTCCCTTCTCTTAAGAAACTTACATTCTACTAGGAGACACAGCTTTTACAATTACAGTGTAAGTCAGTGCAAGATTATTTGAGAAAAGGGAGGACACTAACACCTGGGGCAAGAGAGAAATCAGGGAAGGTTTCCTGTAGGTAGTAGCACCTGAATGGAACCATGAAGAAAGTTATGGATTCTAACAGATTGAAATGAAGGGGAAATGTATTATAGGCATGGGGTACAGCATGAAAGTGACAGATTAAATGCAAAGTTCAGGGAATAGCAAAGAGACCTCTTTGTCTGGAACTTAGAATGCATGAAGCGGATTCATGTGAAATGTCTATAAAAGGAAGCTGGAGCTACACTGTCAAAGGCTTGAAATGACTGTATTTTTTTTTTTCAGGCAGAATAGGGAGCCATGGAAGTTTCTTGAGCAAGGGAGTGACATATTACATCTAATTCTCTGGGGACCAATGTGGAGGATAGATTAGAAAGAGAGAGAATGGCAGCAGGAAGAACATTCAGGAGGCCATTGCAATAGCCCAGGTTTGGGGTGGTGGAGGTGCTAGAAGACTGGTGGAGAAAGGGAAGGGGATAAGCATTTATATAGTACTTCCTGTATTGTAGGTACTGTGCTAAGTGCTTTACAATTATTATCTTATTTGATTCTCACAACTACCCTGTGAGGTAGGTGCTGTTTTTAAGTTTTATAGTTAAGAAAACTGAGGCACAGAGTAGTTAAGTGCTTTGCCCAGGGTCACATAGCTAGTCATTGTCTGAGGTTGGCTTTGAACTCAGCTGTTTCTGACTCCAGGCCCAGCACTCTATCCACTGCACTATCAGCTTCCTGGTAAGATGTAAATGTGGAAATAGAACTGCCAAGACAAGGCAGTAGGGAATTAGAGAGAGTGAAGAATCAGGAATGACTTTGAAGTTACATGTTTGAGTGACTGAAAGGATGATGATTGCCTTAACCAAGAGAAAATTTTGGAGGAGGAGCAAGTTTTACTCTAACACTAGCCCTAATTCCTTTGGTGGGGAGCACAGTGGGAGTAGGGATAATGGATTCTGTTTTGGATATATTGAACTTGCACAGGATCATAAATTGAGGGCTAGAAGGGGCTTTAGAGGACATGGATTCCAACTCCTTCATTTTACATATCAAGAAACCAAGGCCCCAGTTAAGTGACTTGCTCAGATTTGAACCTAGGTCTTGCTGACCTGAAAGTCCACTTGGCCACAATACTTTCTCCTATAGGTAATGTCTAGCAGGCAGTTGGTAATGTTGGACTGGGGCTTACAAGAGAGATCTGGGCTAAATATATAGATTTGGCAATTATTTGTATAGATATGGTAACTGAACCCTCAGGAGCTGATGAGATTCTTAAGAGAGAAAATATACCAAGGGAAGAAGGTCCAGGACAGAGCCTTACGTGGGAGTTGGCATACGCACGCAGTTAGAGGGTGGGAGATGGATGATGATTCAGTAAAGGAATCTAGGAAGGAGGTGATCAGATGGAGAACCAGGAGAGAATAGTATCATGGGAACCAAGGGAAGAGAGTATCTCAGAGGAGTAGGTGGTCAAAACCTAAAGAAAGGTCAAGAAGAATGAAACCTGAGAAAAAGCCACTGGCTTTTGCAGTTAAGAGTTGGTTGATAACCTTGGAAAGAGAAGTTTCATCAAGTGGCCATAAATCATATTTCAAGTGGTTGAGAAGTGAGTAGGAGGTGAGAATATGGAGATAATAAGAGTAGATGTCTTTTCTGGGAATTTTACTGTGAAAGGGAGGAAAAGTACAGGCTGATAGCTTGAGGGAATGGCAAGGTCAAGGGGCAGTTTTGTTTTGTTTTTATTAAAGGTTGGGGGAGAACTATTCTCTTTTAGCTCTAAAAGGTTGAGATTTTACCACTCAAGGTGTTACGTATTATTACATCAAGCTGCCTGTCTGTAGCTATCTATGTTCATGTCTCATGCCTGCCTCCAGACTGCAGTGTCCTTAAGGGTAGGCACTTTGTCTCAATAATAACATCTCACATTTGTTATAGTCCTTTAAGGTTTACAAATGACTTACTCATAACAATCCTCTGAAGTAGGGTAACTCAAGTATTATTATTATCCCCATTTCATAGATGAAGAAATAAGTCCAAGAAGGGTAAAGTGCCACACAGATGATAAATGTTAGATTCAGATTTGAATTCAGTAATAATAATAATAATAATGATTAGCTTTTATATACCATGTGCCAGACACTTTATAAATATTATCTCATGTGATTCTTACAACCACCCTGGGAAGTAGCTATTATTGTTATCATCCCCATTTTATAGATGAGGAAACTGAGACAAAAAGAAGTTAGATGATTTGTCCAAGGTCACATGGATAGTGACTAGTATTGGATTTGAACTCACATCTTCTGACTCTGAGCCCAGTGCTCTCTGTCCTCTCCATCACTTAGCTACCTCTAGTAACCACTTTTCTTCATTTTCTACTTTAACACACAACTTTGTGGTTCTCTATGTATTGCCCATCCTCCTATATTGTGAAAATCTTGAGGTGGTGAACTGTTTCTTACATATTCTTATATCCTCTTTGGAACCTAGTGTAGGGCCTTGTAAATAGAATGGGCTCAGTACTTTTTTTTAAAATTTTAGTTGAAAAGATATTTTTTCCTGTAGTTAAAATATTGCTAGTTCTCACAAAGGTCCCACAGACACTACCTCAGCGATTAGGATGTTTTTATTTTCCACAAAGCTCTTCAGAGTTTCATTTTCTTTACCCTCTCATTGAACTCTCTCTCCCTGCCTCATGATAACAGACCGGGAGAGGATGACCACGGAGATCACTACACCGAGTGCCCAGGGAACCATTGGGCACGAAGAGTACAGTCTGTATAGCAGTATGAGTGAGGACGAGCTTATCCAAATGGCCATCGAGCAGAGCCTGACGGACAACTCCCCGGGGCAGCCGACTGACCCAAGCTGTCAGAAAGCTCGGACGGCAGCGAGAGAAACAGCTGCGGCCAATCGCTCCAACAGGCCACCTGCCCATTTTTACCCATGGACCAGGTAAGAGAATAAAGAATTTGTGCATGTGAGGAATGGGGTTGGGTGGGAATGGGGACTTTTGGGGTAGTTGGAAGGGTGAAAGGAGGAGGGGGTGGTCAAACAACAGAACCCTGCCTTGCCAGCCAAAGACGGGCAATATGAGGTAGTGGAAAATCTGCTGGATTTGATGTCAGGGAATCCAGACAGGTTGAATCCAGACTCTACCATTTATGAGTTGTATAACCATGGTAAAAGATATAAATTAGCAGAGCCTCAGTTTCTTCATTTGTAACATGGGCATATGACTTACATTACTTACCCTACAGGGTTGTTATGGGGAAGGTTCTTGTAGAGTATTGTAGAAATGTGAATTATTCTATATGGCTACTTCTCAATTATCTATATAAATGGTGGTGGTGGTGGGATGAGTGGTGTGGACAGTCTAAAATACTGGGTAATCTAGGAAGAAAGAATTTACATTTATTTAGAGAATGATTTTGGGTGCTTTGACTTTGGATGTGAGAGACTGATCAAGCCAATGGGGAGAGGGCCAGCTATGGAGTCAGGAAGATATGTCCAACTACTCAATTTCTATACCCCTTTAAGGTTTACATGATTTTCTTATGACAATCTTGTGGTGGTATTGTAATGACCATTTTACATTTCAATTCATCAAACATTTATTAAATTCCTACTATATGCAAGTCACTAAGTTAGACCCAGGGAATACCAAAATCAAATCAGAACCTTCCTTGATGTCAATATGTATACATTGCACTGAGTTTGAGTTCTGGGTTCAAGGACTCTTGAACATATTAACTGTGTGAGTTTGAGCAAGTCTTGTAACTTTTCGGTGACCCAAACGATAAAATAGAATGTAACTATTTCTTTTCCTTTTTTTTTCTTTGGTCTGTGTGTATATTTGTATACAGGTATGTATATCTATATTGTATATATATGTATATATCTATGTATTTGTGTCTATATATGTATATATGTAGCATTTAGCATGGTGGCTGGCACATAGGCATTTAAAATAAAACCTTGTTGAATTAAATTCAGTGAAACATAGTTACAGCTGAGTTGCTGTTCTGAGGTTGTGTAGAGAATTTACAGGCTTGTCTTCCTTAAATAGAAGAAATTTTCCTTCCTTTGTTTCTTTGTTTCTTTGTTTTTGTTTGTTCGTTTTCTTCCTTCCTTCCTTCCTTTTCTTTCTTCCTTCCTTTCTTTCTTTCTTTCTTTCTTTCTTTCTTTCTTTCTTTCTTTCTTTCTTTCTTTCTTTCTTTCTTTCTTCCTTCCTTCCTTTCTTTATGTGATACAAATACATTGTTAAAAAGAGTGTCCCAAAAGATTTAGTGCATGGTTAAGTTTTTAACAGCATAAAGAGAGGTCCTTTTCTCTACAATAATATCTAACACAATTTTTATCTTTAATAGCTTAAAAATACACTAAGGCTTTTGAGACATGTATATATGTCATATATGGTTGTATTTATTATTACATATACATACTTTCATGTTTGTATATATTATATATGTATAATATATGTTATTATGCATAGTCTTATACATACATTCTAGTGTATGTATGTATATATATATATACACACATGTGTGAATGTATATCCATATAATATATGTGAAATATATACACACACAAATATAGATATATAAAATCACAGGCAGCTAGATCATGCAGTGATAGAGTGCCAGGTCTGGAGTCAGGAAATCTCATCTTCCTGAGTTGAAATCCAGCCTCAGACACTTTCTAGCTATGTGGCCCTAGGCAAGTCACTTAACCTTTTTGTCTCAGTTTCCTCATCTGTAAAATGAGCTGGAGAAGGAAATGGCAAACCACTCCAGTATCTCTGCCAGGAAAACTCCAAATGGGGTCATGAAGAGTCGGACAAGACTGAAAATGAACAATATAATCACACACATATAATTAGTACTTTCGTTTCATTGGCATAGGGAGCTCTCAGTGAAAAATTTCTTCTCCCAATACAGATTGACACCTTCTTTCAAACATATAGTTTTAGAAAGTTGTTTGGGTCACTCAAGAATTTGAGTGATTTGCCCAGGGTCACAAAACCAATATGTATCAGAGATGGCATTTGAACTCATGTGTTCCTTACTGAAGACAACTCTCTATCCACTGTTTCATGTTGCCTCTCTCTCTCTTTCCCATGCACACAATACATCCATCCATATGTATATGAATATGTCCATATTTATATGTGTGTATATATGTTTGAGATTTTGTGCATTGACACCACTTACAAATAAAATAAATTAAACTGTACTCTGGAAAACATGACTTAAGAAGCCTTGGAAAGTTACCTAATCTCCCCATCCTCATTTCTCCTTGTTCAGCAGCAACCTGGTCCCTGCTGGAAATAAGCATCAGCATCTGTGAAGATATAATATTAATTGGTTATCTGGGTGATTCATTTTTACTTACTAGGTGAATGCTTCAGGAATAATTATTTGGGTTTACAAATATTTGTCTATATGGTCAAACTAAGCTAAAGAAGGTAAAATTGCTTGAGTTATTGAAATGATATGGAATGCACACCTCCCACTCCATCAAGGCCAAAGGTCAGGTATCAGATCAGCTAGAAGAAAGGTGAGGGAGTGAGGAGGAATCAAAAGCCAAGTGGTTGGGCCCACATGGAAAACATAAGGAGACTGACTATTTAAATACTCTGTGCTTTTAGACATAAAGGTAATATATTGATGGGATTAAGAGCTAGAAGAGAGGCTAGTCCAGGGCCACTAAAACTTTTTTGTGTATGTGTCTTGGATCCCTCAGGCAGTTTGATGAACTCTGTGGACCCCTTGTCTAAATAATATTATCTAAATAATATGAAGGAAATGCTAAATTTTAGTTAGAGCAGGGATTCCTAACCTGGGGTTCACAAATAGATTTCAGGAGGATCCATGAATATGGATGGGAAAATTACATCTTTATTTTCAACAACTTTTGGCTTTCTTTATAATTTTTTATTTTATGCTTTTAAAAATATTGTACTGAGAAGGGTTCCAGGGGCTTCATCAGACTACCAAAGGGGTTCCATGACATTGAAAAGATAAAAAAAAATCCCGTGTTAGAGGTTAATGCAAATAATGATGTAATTTTTTCCACATTTAACTTAAGAGACCTACTGAAATCTCTCCTCACACCCCTTCGGGTCCAAGGTAAAGAAGCCCTGATGTTTTAACCCAACTTCTTCATTTAATAGAGAAGGAAATGGAGGTTCAGAGGCAGGAAGCAGTTTGTCCAAAATCAATCAAGTAAAAGAAGTGATAGAGGCAGGATTAAAACATAGGTTCTCTGATAGAAAATCTAACACCCTGAGCTGTCACCATTTTTTTCTTTGCCCCACCCCTAGATGGGACAGTATGGGGCTAGACATGGAGTCAGGAAGACATGAGTTCAAATCCAACCTCAGATATTTACTAGCTATGTAACCCAGGGTAAGGCATTTAACCTCTGTCTGCCTCAGTTTCCTCAACTGTAAAATGGGGATAAAAATGGCACCTGCCTCCCAGGATTATTGTGAGGATCAAATGAGATAATATTTGTAAAGCCCGGTGCATAGTAGGTGCTTAACTGACACTTGTTTCCTCCCTTCCTTCTTGCTCTCTAGAGTGTGAAACATTAGCAGATCCAGGTTTTTAGACTTTTTTTTTTTTCCAGCCCAGGAGATCATTCGTCACTTGGTGTCAAAACAACATGCATAACCTAGACTGGAACTCTTCATACGGCTAAATGAGGACTGAACCACTTAGGTTTAGGGGTTCTAGAGAGATTGAGCCCATTTTTTGTTACTCCCCTGATAGATTCTTTCTGAAGTCCTGACAAAAATAAAAACAGAATAAGATCTTGACATCTGCACATTAGTCTTCTTATCACCCGAGTAGTCTAGGGTTTGGCCTAAAATAAAATCCTTGCTTCTCATTCCCCAGCTGGGGATGGAAGAGTTCTCTTCCATACCCTTTCCCTGTTATAGTCCTCCCTTTATATGCCAGACCATTTGAACCTCATGACAACCTGCGAAGTAACTGCTACAGGAAATATTACCCCATTTTACAGATAAGGAAATTGAGGCTCAGGGAAGTTAAATAACTTGCCCACTATCATACAGATATCTGATGTTAGCAGTGGGATTTAAATCCAACTCATCCTAATTCCAAGTTCATTTTTCCATCGTGATGTCTCTCTAGAGCAGTTAGTCTGAGAGCTGGGAGGATTGAAAGACTCTGAGGACTGGGGTTAGAGTCACAAGACTAGGGGGAGAGTTAGGTGAGACAATGCTATAGGTCCCTCCCAGCTCAGCAGATTCAAAGAATGTCTTTGTAAGCACATCATGACCGAGGCAGCATGGCAGAATGGGGAGAGCCTGGGATCAGGTTCTGCTTCCGGTACTAGCTGGCTGTGTGACTGAGCAAGTTTTCACTTAACCTTTCAGTGCTCCAGGCAAAAATCTAAGACAAAGGTAACACTGGAGAATACTCTATACCAATGAAATCTTAGGTCCACTCTCTATCCCTACATAAACATATTCTCTGTCTCTGTCTCTCTGTCTGTCTCTCTGTCTGTCTCTCTCTCTCCCTCTCTCCCTTTTCTCTTTCTCTCTTTCTCCTTCCCTCTCTCCTTTTCTCTTTCTCTCTCCCTCTCTTCCTCCCTTCCCGTTCTCCCTCTTTTTCTTTCTCTCTTTCTCCTTCTCCCTCTTTCTCTCTCTTCCTCTATTCTTCTCCATCTCTCTTTCTTCCTCTATCTTTTTCTCTCTATCCCTCCTCTTTCCCCTTTTCTCCCCCTCACTCTCCCCCTATCCCTCCCTTCCCTTCTCTCTGTCTCTGATTCTCCCTAATGTATATGCTCTGATCTAGGGAGCAAAATAAATGAAACAAAACTCAGCGTGAGCTTTATCAAAAGACTGGACATCAGAAAGTCTGCTCTTCAACTCTTATCTTTTTTCAATTTGTATTATAGGTTCAGACTACCACAGGGGTCTGGAT